CAGCCTTAATGTAACACACGTTAGCACTAGGGATGAGCTAACTTGACTGAGTTTGGTTCAAGTTGGGTTTGGAAAAGCCAATGTAAATTCCATAAACCTTGAACTTCTCGCCGGACACCACTAAAGTCTAAAGGAGCTGAATATTGGGGTTTTTTAGCAATTTTCAAGGCTAATGTGAAAACTATTGTTGAAAAAGAGCATGGAAAGCTGGGCACTGTCATGGGGGACATGAACCAATGCAAAAAAGATTTTTACAATACAGGTTAGTGGGGAGAGGGTCTTTTCAGGTGGGCAACATTGAATTGTCAGGGTCCGGGTCTGAACCTGAAACCTCTGTTGTGTCTGGAAATGTCTCTTCTTGCTGAGCTACCTGATGTGGTGGACTGCAATCTGTTGGATTCATTGGACAATCCTGCCTTGTAACTTGCTTAACTCCTTGTTCCTTCAATGAAATTCCTACTAAAGCCATGTCTTTGCACTTCCTATTTGGCAGATTATTGTGTTCTCTCCAGCCAATATCTCACTCTTGTCACTTCTTCTGCCATCTGTGTTTTTGCTGCCACTCATTACTGACCTTTGGCTTGTTCCTTGCTGACTACACTTCTGCTTAATCCCAATCTGTGACCATGTGTTAACTACCTTTGGTTTGTTTACTGACTACACTTTTGCTTGACCCCTTCCTGCTATATCTGCTACTAGACCCCGGCATGCTCAGCTCCTGGTGAGGTGTTCCAGAGAACCGCTGCCTGTTACTAACAAGCAGCAAAAGCCCATCTCCACCATCAGGAACTTGGTGAACACCAGTTTGTGCTGCTGACCTTGGGTAAGCCCATGTCATCCACCAGGTTGACCTGCTGCTGCATGTATTCAGCTGGTTGGTGGGAGCCTCTCTACTGCTATAGCTACTGGCCCTCTGAACCTGACCCCTGACTGTGACAGAATACACAAATCCTTAAAATGCTTGAGGAATGCCTTAAAGTGCTTATAAAGCCTAAACATTTTTTACCTTAATGTATTCCTTTCATTAAGGTAAAAGTTTTTTAGGTATCAATACCCCTCCTCCTCCCTCCCCCCTTTTACTTTCCTGAGCCCTGATTTGATCCAGAGCTGTGCCAGTCTTCAGGTGTTCTCTTCTCTTACTTCCTTTGATGAGGCAGTGGGATCCATTAGTTCCTGCTGGTGTCAATCAAAGCCAGTAGAAAGCTGGGGAGGAGCCAGGGGTGCGAGCAGGCGACACAAGAAGAGATGTTTAGGGGCCACTCTGTGCACAGAACAGATAAGTATAAACCTGTTTGTTATTTAAAAAATACATTTGCAACCACTTTAAAGCAGCATTTGGTGTTACAGAAAAGTAAATGTAGTCCTTTAAAAGTGACAATACATATTTGGTCAATGACTTTACCTGGGGTTGTTGGTGCTGTGTTTACATTACAACAGTGCCAGGGATCTGTCATTTAGTGACAACAGTGTGGTGAGTAAGCATTGTCAGGTCTTCATGATTGATGATGGATTTATTGGATCATTGGACCTCGTGATTGATAAGGATTTACATTATACTGGATGACGTGATTGATTTGAACAACATGAATAATAAAAATAGATCTTGCATAAGGTGCTATACCAGTGTTTTTCTATACTTGAAAATGGCATGACAAGGGGAACCACATGGAAGGCGACAACTCTATATTGCTATATATATAGGGTTCAGCTTTTCTAAGACTTTTCTAATTTTAAGCTTTAAAATGCATTAGCCCCATGCTGTGATTCTGAAATCACATTGGAGTATACAACACCATCAATTTCATTTGTTACTATAATTATTGCTGCATGTGTTCCACTGAAACATTTAAAACAAAGCTTTGGGGATGAGGTTAACAGCAGTAGCATGCACAGGATCTTTTGGGGGGAGGTCCTGCCTTGTTTGTTAAACCTAAACTTAAGAAAATTATTTAAAACACCAGTCCATACATTTGTGTATAAAAAACAAGTTGAATAATATTTTAAATTCAATTAACACAAGTAGCTGAATCTGGTTAATATTATTACCCTGAAATTCTCAACATAGAAGCATTTGGATTGGGAAAGGAGGGTCAGAACTCTCAGCCTGTCAAAGCTATATTTCTTTGCACAGTGATTGTCAGCCTAACATTAAATGCACTTTCATAAAAAAAAGTAGAGGAATGCCAATTTCAATTCATACCTCCCAATTGCCTGAGATGAGAAACAGGCATGCCTAAATGTTGCATGGTTAAAATTGATTGTAGCTTAATGGGTGTAGATTTAGATAAATGGACATGGTTTACTAGATGTCTGTTAAAAGATAGTGTGAGAACACAGGTTTTGATCAGAAAAGTGTTAAATCAATTTTCCATTAACACAATACCTGAATAGCCCAAGCCTACCTTCAACTTGCTTTTGAAAGAGAATTTTGTAGACTGCTTATATGTTTCATGTGCTTAATTGCACTGTATAACTGGTTAACAATTTATACATTATTATGAAGGTGTCCATTTTTTCAAGATTCAAAAGCATTAGAATGCCAAACCAAGAAAGAACTATGCTTCACAGTGTGGCAGAGCGAGGCCCTGCCACTGTAAAAATGGTTTTAGAAAGGACACAGGGTTCGCAGGTATGCAGAGTACAGGATTCTGGAGTATTGGTTATGAATGGATAACACAGTTTTTGCAGCTTTCCCCAGATCCCCTCTATATTTTGGAGATTAAATGTTTTGTGAGGGAAGAAATCTTCAAATCCATCGTCCAGGTCCCACTTAAGACCTGCAGAGTGCGTGGCCAGTTTTGAACAGCCCTTTTAATGACAGATGTGGGTATAGCTCAGGGCTCTGATTAGGTAACAGGTGTGCTCCTACCAAGAGGCAGCACTCCATGCTGGAGGAGAGATTCCCTGTCCATCAGGCTGAGAGGATTGAGGAGGCTCAGCGAGTCTGGGAGACTGGGAGAGCCAGGACAACTAGGTGAATCCCTCTGAGGAAGTGTTATTTACACAAAACGCGTTAGGGAGGTGCCCCTGACCTGTGTACTCATACCACAAGGCTATCCTGACTGACACCCTGCTGGCCAGATCTTATTCTGGATGTAAGTTTATCCATTATCTGTACATGCTGTAAGTTTTGCTTATTAAAGATATACTACACTGTTAGAAGCTTCTCTGGGTCTCATCTATTGCATGGGAGCCCGCTTTTGAAGGTTCCTGCTGGTTTGGAGTGATGTGTGATTACCCCCTCCCCCGCTGATGATTTTTCTGGTGGATGACTTATGAATATACCTGGATTGATGACATCTGGTGGCCAACCTGCAGATGACATCCTCCTAATATCACAAGTCCAGAGCACCAGGAGCGGGTCTTAATTGCTCCATGCGCATTTTATGCGCTATCTGGTTAGTGCATTATTTGTACAATTACGAGATCACAAGAGTCACGATTATCTCTGACCATGGATTACTTGGACAATTGCACCTATCACTTTATCTCACCATGCAATATGGACTGAGTTTTTTTACTTATGTTATTGTGCAATTCATGTTCTGATTTTCCATTTGTTCTTATTAGCTTTATTAGCGCTGCATATCTTGTTTTACATCTCCTCCCATTCCTGTGTCTTCAGTTATTCCAAAAATATTTAAAATATAGACTTTAGGTATGTGTTTGGTAGGGATTGGCTAGCTTCAAAACAGTGCACAAGCACTTGAATAGGTAGAAAAACAATAGAGCTCTGCGGAGTGAGCCCTAAGTTTTACTGTATCTGCTGCCAAAAGCACCATTGTGGTCTACTGCCCCTGCCTGCAACTTAACGTGGTAAAAGTAGGAGCAGTTGACTGACACATACTTGAGGAACACATAGTTATGCACCTAAAGCTTGGTGGAAGCAGCACCTCCATGAGACAGAAGATGGCATGCAGTCTCCCTCAAGGGCACATAGCAGCCACTTTGCTGCATTTCTTGATGGTTGCTGGATCCCCCACACAGGAGGCATATCTGCAGGGGGAAAACCTATGGCCATAGGATGGTCACCCCTCCACCTTTTAGTTTGACACTTATTATCGACTCAAGTAAAATGCCTATTTGTGCCGTAAAGTTATGTGTACCAAAGTACCACTTAAAGAGACAGGCAGGCCTAAAGAGAAAGGCAGAGGTTCTGCACACTGGGGTAGAATTGTTTTCTTTTTAAACATCATTTTGTCTTTAGAGATTTAAGTTTATAATTAATATCTTTTTAATTGTTTTAATTTTATTTTAATTTTTTCCTTGTAAGACCATCCCTGCCCTGCTAAAAAATAAGCACATCTTAAACATCACTTTTAAACAGAAATTAAACAATGGGTTCATAGAAAGATAAGGCCACCAAATCAGACACTGGTCTTGCAGAGGTGATGATGCAAACCAGAAATCCTCTTGACACATGGTTTTCTTTCCTATCCTGTAGGCGATGTCTATACCTCCCAGTTATAGAAAAAAGCTTGCTTTAGAAATTAAGGAGGGGGACATTGCTAACAGAACCACAGGTAGCAGCAGATCTGCTTTACTGCTGATCTGTTACACAAAAAAAAGCTATTAAAGGGAGGGTCATCAGTTCTTTAACCACTCGCCTACCAGGCACGTATACCCCCTTCCTGCCTAGGCCAATTTTCAGCTTTCAGCACTAACACTTTGAATGACAATTGCGTGGTCATGCAACACTGTATCTATATGAAATTTTTATAATTTTTTTGAGACAGATAGAGCTTTTTTTTGGTGGTATTTAGTCACCTCTAGGTTTTTTATTTTTTGCTAAACAAACCAAAAACCACTGAAAATTTGGAAAAAAAAAATTTTTTCTCTTAGTTTTTGTTATAAAATTTTGTAAATAAGTGATTTTTTTCCTTCACTGATGTGCGCTAATTAGGCTGCAGTGATGGGCACTGATAGGCTGCACTGATGAACACTGATAGGTGGCACTGATGAGGAGGCACTGGTAGGTGGCACTGATGGGCATTGATAGGCATCACTGATGGGCACTGAAAGGCAACACTCATATATGGCAATAATAGACGGCACTGACTGGCACTGATAGGTGGCACTGTTAGATGACACTGACTGGCATTGTTGGGTGGCACTGACTGGCACTGTTAGGCGGCACTGACGGGTACTTATAGGCAGCACTGACTGGCACTGATTGGCAGCACTGATGGGTAGCACTGACTGGCATGATAGGTGGCACTGACTGGCACTGGTACGTAACACTGAAAGGCAGCTCAGATGGGTACTGATATGTGGCATTGATGTGCACTGGTAGGCACTGATATTTGGCATTGATGTGGCACTGATGGGCACTGGCAGGTGGCATTGATAGGCACTGACAGCTGGCACTGATGGACACTGACAAGTGGAACTGCTGGGGCTACGCAGATCATCAGGACACACTGATCATCAGTGCCCTGATGATCAATGTAGATGTCCCCTCTGAGTAAAGCCGATTACAGGCTCTCCTCTCGAGCTGTCAGCTTGACAACTCGTGAGGAGAGAAATGCCGATAACGGGCATTTCCTATTTACATGTGATCAGCTGTGATTGGACACAGCTGATCACATGACTGAGCCGACATCTTTGGTTCTTTCCGTTGATCGGAGATCCGCTGTGTCCGAGGGACACAGTGCACCACCGATCGCCGCGCTGCGCGCTCCCAGAGCCATGCATGCACGGTTAGAATGGGAAGACATCATATGAAGTCCTCCCAGAACAAGAGAACCGCCTTGCACCCGTCACTACCTTATATGGTGGGCGGGAGGCAGTTAAACAAGAAAGAAAAGGGCAGAAGCCTGAGCTTTGATAGTGCTGAAAGACAATCTTCACTACTAATTTTAAGTTTAAATTTTGTTTCCTTATTTTTTTTAGATACTTTTTTTTAATATTTTCAGATATTATTTGATTATTTTTTTATTGCTTTGTAGGCCTGTTTGTTGTAGTAATACAGTGGACTTTCAAGCCATTATATTTCCTTAATTTAAGGCAGGACAGGACTGCCTTTCTCTGCTGCACAGACGTGCATACTGATAGAGTGATCCTGCTATGTCTCTGTATCGCTTGCAGAGATATTTCACTCAAACCACATGTGACTGCAGATCTGTAGATGCCAAAGCAAAAGGTCTTCTGTCCATCTTATTTTTCTACATGTAGGCAAAGTATATGAAAGCTCAGAGACATTTTCTGATTGCCAAAGCAGACATAATTTCTTTGTTTGGCAAACAGTTTGATAGGAATGCACAAAATGACTTTGCTTAAAAGGTAACTCCACGTCTGTGGGGAAAAAATAGCAAACTAAGCAAAAAAATTAATATAGTGTATACAATTGATACACAACTCATACTGTAATGAATTGTTATTAAAAAATCTGCAGCACTGTAATTTTCTATAAAATACAATGTCTACCTGGAGGTGTTTTGTACACAGACGGTGTACAGAACACCACCCCGAAAATGTCATTTCTTGCCTGTGTGATTGGCTTATTGATTTTCTGCACTAAGACACTAAGTTACAAGTCAGATTTTTAACATCACCCGCAACATAAATGTAATTTTTGGTGAGATACTTCCAAAGGAAAATCATGTCTAATGGGATTCAGACCCTGCCACTTTCTTCATTAGAACCCTGCAAGTGTTGCAGCTGAGTGATAATTATACAATCACTCTAATAAATATTCACTCTGCACATAGACACAGACAAACAAACAGCAATTTCTTCAGAATAGCAGAAGGTAAGAATCTGCAACACAATTTGTAAAGGTCCTTGCAAAGTACATTGATCACCCAGAGGAGAGTTACTCTTAAACAATCATCCATTTTACTGTGAAAAATTAAAGAAAAGCATTTCTATCTGTTTATGCAGCTCTATTGTGCAAAGCCAAATTGGGTTTAGACTGCTGAAGAAGAATGTAGTGTTCTGTGCCTTGTTTCTGTTTCCTGGCTATTTTTATGTACCTAGTAGTAATGGCATAAAAGTTTCTAAATTAAATAAAAAAAATAAAATTGCATATAAAAAATAAAGGGCAAAGACCCCATTCAATACGAAAAGTAGGTCAGGTGTTGACAATTGAAGAGATAGCTATCAATCAGGTGTTGCTGACAGATAGAGATGTTTGAGCGTACAGATCTGGGTGGGAAACATAAGAAAGTGTACTCCAGGACTGCAATTGAAACATTTCAAGCATTGTTTGTTAAAGTAGTTGTAAACACAACCACTAAAATCAGGGCCATCTTCAATATTGATTGGTCCCGGGCAAACATTTCCTTGCCCCCCCCCCCAGCAATTTAGCTCACCAGATTAACATCCCAAAAAATAAACACACACACACATAGACTTATCTCAAAAAACATTATTAATATAAATATAAAGTACTTGTCCACACTCAATGATTGGTTCAGGCTCACTGACTGATTGCTATAGGTTACTGCACATCCTTACTGCTCACTGCTTGGTTGCTAGAGATTACTGCACATCCTTACAACTCACTGATTGGTTTCTGGAGGGTACTGCACATTATTACTGCTCACTGATTGGTTGTTAGAGTGAGTGAGCAGGCACATGACAAGAGATGTCAGGGAGTTCGTAATATTTTGTCTATGCACTGATCAGTAAAAAGTTGCCAGTGTCAGGTGTGTGTGTGCTGCTGGCAGTGGGGAGAAGGACCTACCTGGCCATCTGCTGTCAGAGGTCCAAGGCTCTCAGCACTCCCACTTCGATCTCAGCTCCTACTGCAGCTGCTCCCTTCTGAGCATACAGGCATGGGGTAGGGTCAGAGCGTCAGTGGAGCTCCCGGCCCCTCCCTGCTGGCTGTGGAATACAGTGATGCCTCCTGTGTACACAGTGCACTCCACAGTGCCATCATGGATCTCCAATTTGCGGGCAGCATGAGCTTAATGGCAGCTGCCCCTTTTGCCCTGCATTAAAGACAGCCCTGACTAAAATATCAGATAAGTTTTAACAACTGGCGAAACTGATATAAAGATCTTCATTCAGGCACTTTGTGTTATTGGGTGACACAATTCCACAATGTCCTGCCTGCAAATCACTCAATGTCACATACCTTCCCAAAGAAGAAAAACAAAAAAAAATCTTTTGTGCTAATGCATATTGCTCTGGACTATTACACTGGTTAAAAAAAAAGATGACATTTAAAAAGAAAATTGCAATAATTAGGAAATTCACCCAGTGAAAATACACATGTAGCAGCCTAGCTGTGAAGTGCATGTGGACAAGCTGTGAAAATAAAATTGCAACCACCCAAAAAATAAAACATATGGCACACATGCAGTCTGTTATGGCTGTAGACAATTGGGTAGGGGAGTGGTGTATTAACTTATAATACTGTTGGCGAGTATCATCCCTTGTGAAATGCTAACCAGCATGTAGTGCTGTAGCAAATGGGACTTTAAATATACATTATATTGCCAAAGGTATTGGGATGCCTGCCTTCACACACATGAACTTTAATGGCATCCCAGTCTTAGTCCGTAGGGCCCACCCTTTGCAGCTATAACAGCTTCAACTCTTCTGGGAAGGCTGTCCACAAGGATTAGGAGTGTGTCTATGGGAATGTTTGACCATTCTTCCAGGAGCGCATTTGTGAGGTCAGACACTGATGTAAGACAAGAAGGCCTGGGTTGCAGTGTCTGCTGTACTTCATCCCAATGGAGTTCTATCTATTGAGTTGATTTGCCCAGCTATGACAGAAACATTCTAAGGATCTCCTCCCACTGATCCTCCAGAAAGTTTCCCACTGCTTGTTCTCACCTATGTTTACTCTGTTGAGGAAATATTGGGGTAGAGTTAATTCTCATAAATCAAAAGTCTGTCCTGAGCATGCAGGGCATATTGGAGCTGAAGGTATTGATAAAATGATTTATTAAAAAGTTCAAACTCTATTTTAAGTTGCTGAAACTAGTTCAAAACACCATCTTTATACAATGCAGACACTTTGTCAATATTTGTTTGTAGCCTAAATAATACAGAAATGGATTAATTAAGCCATATTAAAGTATATCTAGGGAGGTCCCTCATGCCCAACAGGAACTTAGGTACATTCTATACTCTCCCCAATCGGTGTAAAGTAGAGCAACTGGCATATGCTTTGGTATAACTATGGTTTCCAGTTGGAGCAAGGGATTCTGCAAATAATAAGAGACTATATGGTAAGATGCAGAACATCTTTTGACCCCCTCCTGCCAAATGCTGCAGTTGGGAAGTAAGGATGCAAATCCACAGGTTAGGAGCAGAAAGGCACTCTGCAATATTTCCTGAGATGCAAGAAGATGCAAGTTTCTGGGATAATTTGGATCACTTCTTCAGGCTTTATACATTACAGAACAATGGTTCTGAAGCCCTCATATTGTACACAGAGTTACAAGGAGGTGAAATGAAATATACACATTTTTAAAAATACAGCATGTTTTTCTTGACACACTTTACCAATGAAAGGTATCATAAGAGATACAATATCATCATCTAGAAGTGTTACTGGGTAAACTGACTCAGTGATAAGGATTCCAGGCACAAATTCACCTCAATAAACAGTCCATTTGAAATGTCCATACAAGCAAATGAAATATAACTATTGTCACCTCAAACCTGTCACTTTATTGAGTTCTTTTGAATTGACCATTATTTTGGTAAAAGGCATACAGAAAACAGTCTTTTATTGTCAGAGGTAAGAAAATTAATTAAAATCATACTGGCATATGAGATTCCCTGTTTCATTGCTTCTCATTGTAACTCTGTGTATAAATATGTGGGTTTCAGAATCATTTTTCAGAAATATATAAAGCCTGACAAAGGGGTCTAAGGTACAGCTGTGCTCAAAAGCTTGCATCTGTATTAGTTAGAAAATAAAGGGTATGATTTGAACTCCCAACATTCTGAATTAATCAATGGACAACATAATTCAACACTCTATTACTTTCATTGGGAAGAGAAATATGTAAATCAGTGAACAGCAAAGTACCATCTGCATATAATGCAAATGTATCTCTGACAAATTCCACCACTTGAGGGGGCCGTCTTATTAAAAGTCCCACCTGTTAAAAAATGTGAAAGTCTATGCAGTCGCATGCAGGCAGGGTACGGACTGTTTGTAATATGCTGAGACAAAAGTTTCACATTGTACTGTAGTAGCTACTGAACCTTTTGCTCGTATAGGCTTGCTGAAGGACAGAAAAAGTAATTAATCTTGTGGTATCTAGTATTTATTAGGTGGAAAAGTGCCAAAATAATGTACCGAAATCTGAGGTAACGGGCCAAGCATTCAGACAGAAAAGATGAAAGCCTTAAAAATAGGTATAAGTGAGCGCTAAAGGTAACAAAGCTGCTGAACACAAAAGGTACCA